AGGTAAGGAGGAACCAGCAAAAGAAACCAGGGAGAGTAGCCAGAGAGATGAGGAAGAAAATCAGGGAGGGTAGTCTCCTGGAAGTCAAGAGAAAAGAAATTTCAAGGAGGAAGAAATGATCAGTGGGTCAAAAAATACTGGTCAAGGAAGTGAAGACTGTTTTCTATTGGATTAAACAACTGCTAAATCTCTGGTGATCTTGACAGGAATGGAGGGAGGCAAAGGGCCTAATGGGTTGTGTTCAATAGAGAATAGGAGGAGAGGAATTAGAGACAGGGAGTATGATTAACTCTTTCAGGGAGTTTTGCTATAAATATGAATCTAGACAGGGACAATAACTAGAGAAGGATATGGAGTCAAGGGAGGTTTTTAAAAATTTTGTTTTAAATTATTATTATTTAAGATAGAAGGAACAAAATGATCCAGTAATGATGCGGGGAAAATTGATGCTCCATGAGAGTAAAGGGAAAAGCTAGAGGGATGTCCAGGAGAGGATAAGAGGTGGGGACAAGAGGGATGGTTATTAAGATGTTGGGGCCCCAGAGACTAAACTCATCAAGTGGGATTCTGTTTCTTTTTCTTCTAACCACTTATCTGCATTTAAATTTATTTCAAACTTACTTGCTTTCTGTTGGAAGTTAGGAAGGGCAGATAAAAAGCACTAAAAACTGCAGTATATAAAGCTCAGTTTTGGGGCCTCTTACAGTAGGGGAAGAGAAGAGATTGAATCTTCTGGGTAAGGTGACATTTTAAAGTGTCTTTGAATGACAATTAATCTGTGCTATTCTAGTCCCTTATCAAAATTTATGATTGAGCACAGGCTATAAACTTAATCATTTGAAATTTGTAGTAGGGTGCATTAAATTTTAGCCTAATTTAAAACATTATCTAGTATTAAACTTTTTCTCTGCAAATTTTGTTTGTTTAATATAGATTCTTCATATACAAGGGTTTTAGATATTTTACAAAAGGTACTTAAATATTAATCACATTAGATTTATTTATTTATAATATTTAAAATATTATAACCATATCAGAAATCTAGATGATTTGTTTCTTTACCAGCTCTAATTAGAGCAGTTACCTGCGAAGTTCTAGAGAGGTGAACAATCTTCTATTTGTGAAAAGTTGTATGACTTTATATTAGCAAGACAATATAATACCTCTAAAAGCAAAAATAATTTCACTTACTCTAACCTAGATGTTTTGGATATATTTTTCAAGAACAAATTTATCTTTTAAAAATTTTAGCAAATATGGTTAAAATTTTGAACTACCTTAGTTAGAAGTGTGAAATGTATGTGAGAAACAAACTAAGTGGCTTTTAACCAGCTTAACATGAAGAACTCAAACTTGCTTTCAGACTTAAATATGTTTTACATATGGATAGTGTGTAAAAAGCACAAATGTGTGTATAGATCTTGCTTTTTGTTGCTCAGTCTTCTTAAATTATAGAAATAAAATATTTGCTTTTCTTTTTTTTTAATTTCCAAATGGTAGTCAATTAATATTCAATCTTCAGAAGAAACACCTTGGGATTTCTGATGTGTACAGTATTTAAGAATCATTAGTCTAAAAATAATTTCCTCTTTTTGGGTATGTGAACCTCATTGTGAAACCAATTAAAGCTGTGGACCCTCTTCCAAGAAAATTGTACCTATGCTGATATGTATAGAATTTAGCATATAGTATGAAGGAGTTGACCTCTCTGAAGCGCATTCATGGGATCCCTTAGATTTAAAAGATTTCATATTTTGTTTTGTTTTTGTTTGTTTGTTTGTTTTGTTTTTGAGACAGAGACTCGCTCTGTTGCCAGGCTGGAGTGCGGTGGCACAATCTCGGCTCACTGCAGTGTCCCGCTCCTGGGTTCAAATGATTCTCCTGCCTCAGCTTCCCGAGTAGCTGGGATTACAGGTGTGCGCACCACACCCAGCTAAATTTTTTTCGTATTTTTAGTAGAGAAGGGGTTTCACCATGTTGGCCAGGATGATCTTGATCTCCTGACCTTGTGATTTTCTATTGGATTAAACAAACAAAAACAAAACAAAATATGAAATCTCTGTCTCAAAAACAAACAAAAAACAAAATATGAAATCTTTTAAACCTAAGAGATCCCATGAATGCGCTTCAGAGGGGTCAACTCCTTCATACTTTATGCTAAATTCTATACATATCAGCATAGGTACAATTTTCTTGGAAGAGGGTCCACAGCTTTAATTGGCCTTTAATTGCCTGGCTTGGCCTTTCAAAGTGCTGGGATTACAGGCTTGAGCCACCATGCCCAGCCAGGATTTCATGTTTTAAGACTTTTTTAGATGGCTTACTTATGTGATTTTTCTTTAAAACTTTATATACGAACTTTTCAAAAAATATTTCGCTGGTGTTTGTTGTAGTTTGTTTTTTAGAAGAGTAACTGCTGCAGTGGGTTAAGAGAAAGTTAGGTCTAGTGGAAAATGAGCTCAGTGAAAGGAATCTTGAGCCAGTAAGCTCTTCTTCAGCTTCATGACCAGCTAGCTGAATAACCTTTGGGGAAATCACTTAACTTCTCGGGCTTTGATTTCCTATGCGATTTCTGCAGTCCCTACAAGTAGTCTTATGAGCAGTTTCATAACCTCATGATTTCAGGATATCATGACAAAATTCTTTATCCATTTAGGATTGGCCCTGCTACTCATTTTTGGAGAAAATGCCTTTGGAGATAAGGTATATGTACAGTATGCTGCCTTTTATTGAATATGACTTTTCAGCAGCATTTAGTAATACTTTTTAATGCTGCGTAAGTTAAAATCCCAGTTCTACCCTCATTACTTTGAATTTCAACATATTTTATATATTCTGGGTATAAGACTGTGTTGATTATACATATTGCAATTATCACCTCCAATTCTGTGGCTTGCTTTTTCACTTTCTTAATGGTGTTTTTTTGATGAACAGAAGTTTTTAATTTTGTCCAATTTATCAGTCTTTTCCTTTTTATTATATCTTAAAATGGTAATATTTTACTTCCTAATCAACAACTTGGATGAAAACAGTTCCAGAAAGTCATTCATTTAACAAATAATGCAGCTGGAAATCGATGCATAAGAAATTATCCCCAGCCTGAAAGAGCTAACATGAAAGCCCTAATAGGGAAGATAAGCCCGCAACAGACAGCTTAAGTGTCTATTTAGTCAATTCATTGATTTAACAAGTATTTATTGAGCATTTACTATGTGCCTGGTGCTGTCTCAGGCAACCTTTTGAGTGGTACAGAGTCCTATAGATATCAGTATTGTTAAGAATCCACTTTTTAATAACTGCATTGTTCTGTGATTGCTGCATGCTTTCTCTTTTGGTTGGGAGTCATCCTAACCTTGGTGATTAAAATTGTTATTTGCATGGGCCTAAGGACTTTATAAAGGACTGCTGCTAAAGAAAAGGCAGCATAGAACAACACATTGAATTTCTTTTGGAAATGAATGCTAACTGTATGAACTGGGGCCCTTTTAAATAATTTTATTGTATGTTTGGTATAACTGTACATGATTAAACAAAGGTTTACAATCTGGGAGATATGAAGCTCTTCTGAAATATTCCCTGAGGAAATGAGACACTATTGGAGTAATATCAGTCAACAAACACCATATTTAAGGTAAAGGAAGACATGTAGTTCTAGAGCATAACATAGTGGAGTTGAAATAATTTAATACTAAAATATTAAGGGAAAAGTTTTAATTTTCTTCTAATGTTAGATCGGGATCCCCAAACCTTAATTTTCTTTCTGGCTTTATCACGGATTAGATATGTGGCATAGAAACAAGTAGCTTTTATGTATGTGGTTTACAATCTAATAAGACATGGGCAGGCATGGTGGCTCACACCTGTGATTCCAGCACTTTGGGAGGTTGAGGTGGGGAGGATTGCTTGAGCCCAGGGGTTCGATACCAGCTTGGGCAACATAGTGAGGCCTGTCTCTACAAAAATAATAAAATAATTGCAAGGCATGATAGCACACTTGCGGTCCCAGCTATTCAGGAGGCTGAGGTGGGAGGATCACTTGAGCCTGGGAGGTTGAGGCTTCAGTGAGCTGACTGTGCTACTGCACCGGAGCCTGGGAAACAGAATGAGACTCTGTCTCAAAAAAAAAAAAAAAAAAAAAGGCCGGGCGCGGTGGCTCAAGCCTGTAATCCCAGCACTGTGGGAGGCCGAGGCGGGTGGATCACGAGGCGAAGAGATCGACACCATCCTGGTCAACATGGTGAAACCCCGTCTCTACTAAAAATACAAAAAATTAGCTGGGCATGGTGGCGCGTGCCTGTAATCCCAGCTACTCAGGAGGCTGAGGCAGGAGAATTGCCTGAACCCAGGAGGCGGAGGTTGCGGTGAGCCGAGATCGCGCCATTGCACTCCAGCCTGGGTAACAAGAGCAGAACTCCGTCTCAAAAAAAAAAAAAAAAAAAAAAAAAAAAAAAAAAAAAACAATGGTGAGACACATCTAAGAATATGAGGAAAGGTTAATTAAAATTCTGACTATACATTATTATAAAATGCTGTGATTTTAAAACCTTGCATAAGGCAAATCCATTTCAAGATTAATTGAAGAGAATGCCTTTTACGACGACCAAACTAAGGACTAGTGATGTTAGCTTAATTTGTTACTATAAAGCAACTGACAGTAGAGGTCACTTGTTGGGTTTGAGGAGTAGTTGTATGTTATTTAAATGAGGTGCATTTTATTTCTATGTGTCTCTTAGGAAAGGAAAATTATCAACTGCTAACTTCCCCTTGTCTTGAAAAACTATGGAAAAGTAGTGATTTAACTGCTCTTGAGTTCCTTCTTTGCTGTAAAAATTACCTATTGTTTCTTTTTTTTCTTTTGGGTTTTAAAACTTTGGAAATTTTTGTGTGTTTTGGTTTTTTCTTCTTAAAATCAGATACAAATCTTTGAGTTTCAGCTTTTGATGACATGTTATAAATATGTGTGTGTTGCCTAATTCCATTTTCCCATTCTTCTGTTATAGGGGGCTAGGGAGCTGAAGGAGAGCCAGTTTCCCCAAAATTGGTAAGTAATTTCGCTAGGTAGACATAGTATGCCTGATGCTAGCTGGATAATAATTCAAATACTGTGATTTTTTTTTTTTTTTTTTTTTTTTTTTCAAAAAAGCTGTCTCTCAGAAATGGGGCTTTGCTGTTTGCACTGAGTGGAAATGAATTGTCTAATGTCACATAGCTATATTTCAAACCCATTTGTGTTTCTGCCAATACAGCTAGGCCTGCATGTTCCTCCATTCCGATAACCTGTTACAATGTAAAAGTCCCCTTTTCTAAAAATGTCCTTAATGCAGTGGTTCGAGTTGAGAATTCAAAAGTTCAGATTCCCAGCCAGGCCCAGTGTTGTGTGCCCGTAGTCCCAGTTACTCAGGAAGCTGAGGCAGGATGATGGCTTGAGCCAGTTCAAGTCCAGCCTGGGCAACAAAGCAAGACCCCCATCTCTTAAAAAAAGAAGATTAAGATTCCTATAGTGTTTCGTGTTACTTAATATGCTGTTATATTTGATGGCTTTGGTATATGTGCAAAATGGCTTAGATTAATGTAACTATGGAAACTTGACTTTGAAATTTGGGACTCGTGTTTATTTATATTCTTAAACTTAATATTGGATTAGCCTCATGTCTGATAGTACATTTTTTGGTGTGTGTTGTTTTATATAATTCTTAAAAAGGAAAAAGAGAGAAAGAGAGAGAGAAAAATGTAATCATGTGGGACATACAGGCAAACTTTTTTCCTAATATCTACTTTGATAGATTTTTTTAATATGGTTTATAAATCATCACTCTTAATCATTTCTTTGAATGCACAGGGCAATCTAATGACTAGCAATCAAACAAATATTTATTAGAAGAGTGTGTACTATGAAAAAAATTAAACTCAAATAAGATAGCTGGAATAGGGTAGTCACCTAATGCAAGACTATTCCTTTTTTAAAAAATTTTTAAATCCTCTCTCTCAAATAGGAATTAACTTAGTGGATGGAGTAGGTACAGTAGATATTTGGCCAAAGTTTCCTTTTGATAGCTTATGGTGCTTGTGGTGTCTCTCTTCCTTTTAGGGGACTGGGGTTTGAACATGATTCATGGAGGCACTTGAACTAAATTAACCCTTGCATTTTACTACCTTTTGATTCTACTTGCCTTTCTCTCATGAAACCTTTTAAAATAGATAATCAAGATCCTATTGCTCTTACTTTGACATGGGACAGAATCTCAGAGAAGGAACCTTAACCCATTTATACCAGAGGTTGCAAATTTTTTTGTGTGTGAAAAATCAGACCTTGGCAATGATCTTGAGCAGTAGGATATAAATAATTCCCACAAGCTTAGTGTTCCAATAATGGAACACTAGGTATGGATCAAGGACCTTGTCCTCCAATATTTTACCCTGTGTGGCAGTTTCTTCTAGATCCCTGACAGGTTGTTATTCAGGTACATATTGAATACTACATGTTTAAAAAATGTAGCTCATTTTCTATAATGTATTCTGAGGAATTCTACTTCCACAGAAACTGAATAAGTATTATTGAAGGGGGCGGGGGTGGGAAAAGGGTTCTGTGGTCAAATAATTTGGGAAATGCTGCATTAAACAAAGTTAAACAGGTTTCTTTACTGCAGGACTTCTCAGAACCTTTAATATGCTAATGTGCATTGTGAATCTCCAAGAGGGGGATATGATATGCAGCATTCTTGAATACTTCTAATGACAGGGAGCCCACTACCTCATAAGGTAACCCATTCCTTTTTTGTACAATTCTAATCCTTAGTTCTTCCTTTTCCTTATATTGATCTGAAATATATCTCCCATAACTTCCACTTCTATTAAGTATTTATTGGTTATGCTGAAACTACCACACCCACTTGTGTTATCCTTTGTGTGGTATATATTTGTAAGATTCTGGACATGCATGTCTGGACAGTTTTTTCAAAAAAATTATCATTAAATATTAATAGGATTCTGGTAAATGTGATAACCAGTTCTAAAATCTTGGCCTCATTGTCACTATGCTCTTAAACCCTACTTCCCAACCTCCATTGTCAATTTCTGTGTATTTAAAAATTTACTCAGTTTTCTTTTTGTTGGATGTGGCTGGGATAATTTAGTAGACATGCTTGATTTTTGTAAAGAAAAGAAATAGAAGACTGTGTGTAGACAGCCTGGACCCCAGAAAGCAGAGGTATAAAATGTACATTGGGCTGAGCACTGATGATGGTGGGGAGGGGTCCAGGACTCTACGCAGACCTGTGAAGGAAGGTGCTATGGGTAACCCTGGCCTGGCCCAAGGCACCATAAAAGCCTGCACATTGCAGCAGAGGTATGAACTGCATAGAGATTCCTTTTTAACAAAATGAGGGCTTACCCCCTACCCCTTCCAAAACAAATAGAGATGAGAAAGATATTTTATACTCTCATACATTCAGGCATTTAGATATCATAAATGTAATGATATGTATGCATATATATTTTTAATTTAATTTAATAATTAGGAAACAACATTATTAAATGTAATTTAATAATATGGAAACATCCAACTAGCTAAGGGAGGCATTTGTCAAGAGCTGTCATACCAGGATTTGAATATAGTAACCTTACCAGATTCAGAGGGTTAGCCTCTAAGATCAGAATTGCAAAGCCCTTTGTGCAGTAGTATTTTCTGTTCACCTGCGGAGTGTCATAAAAGAAATACTGTGATGAAAATAAATCAAGATGTGTTGAAATGTGCTAAATGATAAGAAAATAAACATTACATTATGTTTTTTAATGTTGTCATTTGTGTTGATTCATGTTAATGTTAAAGTTTTTAATAAGTAATATTAAAAGAATTTTATTATTTTTGGCATTCATGGTAATTTTAGCACTAAAGTTAATGAAGATATTTTATCTCTATATATGTTAGATACATAGTAAGAAGTTAAGTATTTTGTACAAATTGAAACTTGATATTTGAGTATTAAGCATGGGACAAGAAATAAAAATACATAGTTCTGTCAAGACTTACTACTTTTTCTTATTTAAAAAAATGAATTTAACCTACTTTAAACATTGTGTCTGAGAATATGGATCAGAAGCAGAGGAGTTTCACACCAAATAAATGCATGGTACAGAGAACATGGAATTGTCCTTTTTAGAGACAGTTTGGGGCACACTATGTCATGGACTTATTGTTAAAGAAATGTTGGTCAATGAGTCAAGTTTTGATTGGAAAAAGGTTTCTGTCAATTCAGTAACAGCAAAATATTTCTTAGCAGTAAAATTGGAGTTACAGCTTTCCTACAAGTTATTAGAATCATAATAAAAGACCTACAGGTCACATACCTTCAAGCAGACGTATACCCAGAGAAATAGAAGAATCTCCATAGAGAGTTTGTGAACAGAAAAGCTTACAGTCTTCTAGATATATACTGTGTAGAGAAGTTTCATTAAAAAGTCTGTATAGAGAAAAGAATTAAATGTATTAAAACTATCATAAAACTTTACAGTTTACAAAGGGCTTTTCATATAATTTTGCCTTTTTTAAACTGCAACAGTCTTATGAAGTAGGTGATATTGTTTCAATTTTCCTGATTTACAAGCAAACAAACCCTGAGGATGAGAGTAGTCACACCGTGAGTAAGTAGAATTAGTGTTTTTGTTTTTTGGGATGATGAATGTGCTTTCCTTGGCTGACCTTTTTAGTGGGATTTAATAATTGTTTCTGTTTGTTTGATTTTGTGTGTTTGGTTTTACGTTTTTTGTTACTGTTGTTATTGGAAGGTGAGAGGCCATTAGGTATCAGAATGATTTGATGTGTACAGTTTGACAGATTGCAAATGCGAATATTTTGGGCTAGGGAAGTGCTCTCGTTGATGGTGACTTGTAGAGCTGTTGGATGGTGAGAGGTATTATGCTGGAATACAGTGTGTTACTGTCTTGTGAGTCTGATGATATTCACCTTGCAGTAACTGATTGCTTCTTTATAACTTATTAGAATTTGTCAAAATATGTTAAATTATCTTTTAAAAGTGTAGCAAATAATTTTTTTGATGCTATGAACTACCTCCCAGTGATGTTCAGATGATGACTGTATGATATGTCCAAGATCTAAAATATGTCCAAATATGTCCAAAATATTTTTTCAGCTGGATGCAGTGGCTAATATCCCACACTTTGGGAGGCTGAAGGTGGATGGATCACTTTAGCCCAGGAGCTCAAGACCAGCCTGAACAACATGGCAAAACCCCGTCACTACAAAAAAATACAAAAATTAGCCATTGCTACAGGTGGTGCACACCTGTAGTCATAGCTACTTAAGCGGCTGAGGCAGGAGGATTGCTTGAGCACAGAAGTCGAGGCTGCAGTAAGCTGTGATTACACCACTGCATTCCAGCCTGGGTGACACAACGAGACCCTGTCTCAGGAAAAAAAAATTTTTTTTTTTTTTTTTCTTAAGGCAGTTTCTTGCTCTGTTGCCCAGGCTGTAGTGCAGTGGCGTGATCTTGGCTCACCGCATCCTCCACCTCCGGGTTCAGGTGATTCTCCTGCCTCAGCTTCTCGTGTGGCTCGGACTACAGGCGTGTGCCACCACGCCCAGCTAATTTTTGTATTTTTAGAAGAAATGGAGTTTCACCATGTTGGCCAGGATGGTCTTGATCTCTTGATCTTATGATCCACCCACCTCAGCTTCCCAAAGAACTGGGATTATAGGTGTGAGCCACCATGCCTGGCCAAAAAAATTTTGTTCAAAAGATTCAGCATGTATTCATGACCAGCCTGGGCAACATAGTGAGACCCCTTCTCTACAAGAAAAAATAAAATTAGAAAAGCAAGATTCAATATGTACCTGCCTCGTTTTTGTAAACTATAAATATATGTATATAATTTGTTTCTTTTTTTTTTTTTTTTT